GTCAGGCCTCTTCTGGGCACTTTTCCTCGTTGGGGTCCCAGACAGGAGGGGGGCCGGGACAAACCAGAAGGGCTCGGGGGAGGCAAGGAGGGTCTGTGGGGCTGGGGCTGCTTCCGCACGCAGCAGAGAAGGCGTTGGGGCACCTCGCAGCACAGCCTGGTGCCTACGGGGAAGGCATCAAGGGGATGGGGACAAGCTCTTCCCAGCACTGCCTGGTGGGAGGGTGAGAGACAGTGGCATCTCCTGAAACTAGAGACATTCCCGCTGCAGAAAAGGCATCAAAACCAAAATCCTTGTGAGGACCAGGAAGCCCTGGAGTGGGAGGCCCAGAGAGGCTGTGCCATCCCTGAGCCTGCAGGTCGGCCTTCAAGACCTGGGTGGCCACAGCCCAGAGCATCCAGGTCTGTGATTCATTGCTGACCCTGCCCTGAGCCAGTGCGATTCTGTTCTCAACGTGCTGTCGGATGGAATGACAAGGGACCAAGCAGCGGTTTATAATGCTCTTCCTCTCTGGTTTCAGGGGAGCTGTCACTAGGCACCATATCTGCCAGCAACTTATCTGGGCCCCTATGAAACTCTGGTGAGGGTGAATTCTGGCCTCTGAGTTTCTTAAAATACCCAATAGTGGTCAGAACTTCCAAAGTTCTGAAGTTCAAGAATGAAAACGCAGGAAGCTGGCATGTCCTTAAAGAATAAGACATCCAGTTAAACTGCATGGTGTGTTTTTCAGCAATGGCCTGGGCAAACACTGGCACTTTCTGGAGTAGTCCAGAAGAGCTGTCATATTTTGTGGAATGTTTTAGACAGCCAGATGGATTCTACATATATGTTCCACACCTAATGCCTCAATATTCCAGTGTAGACTATAAGCCTAGCAGCTCATGCCGAGATACAAAAGCAGAACTGGTATTTTTTTTTTAAGCCTTGACAGTGTTTGGCCACAAAACATCTTTTTCATGGCTTTTCAAGTAATTGTTCTGACATGACATACACAACCTTCTTAAGTGCCCACTTCATGAAGAAACGCAGCTAAGTGCAGGTAGTACTTCCTCCTTGCAGGTCGTATTAATAAGCGTGTAGCAGTTACTGGAAGGGATCCAAACCGTGCCCCTTAGGCTGGCTCCTTTGCAAGTGGCCTTTTTTACCAGGTCTACACTAAATGTTCTTTGATGTGGATTCTGCTCTCACCCACAACAGGCTACCTAAGGACAGAGCGTAACAGCATGTAGCTCACAGCATTACTTGCCAGAAATCTTCCTTTTTAATTCTTTTTTTTTTTTTTTTTTAAGCGTAGAGTTTTGCATACACATAAAGCTATAACATACGCTTAAGAAATACATACACCAATAGCAGATCGTTTTGTATTATAGAATAGGCACCAAAATGCACAGAATTTGACAGGTCTCAAAATGCGACACATTCTGTATAATCTTAAATTTTATTATGTAAAGGTATTTTTCCAATTCATCAGGAATTAAATAGAAATAAAATATTTCAGTAGAGAAAAAACAGAAAAGTGTTGTTCATAAACGGTTGGAGAATGGCTTGCAGAACAAGGTCATGGGTCTCTGGTCTGAGGTAAAGAAAGGAAAAAACCCAGGGTACAGTTATGCTAACAAAGGACTGTTATGCTAACGGGGGGGAGAGAGACTGAGGTACAGAGTGGCCTTGATTAGGATGGTGAACAACCTGGGGACAAAAAAGCAAGCCAGAAGAAGGACATACCTGAAATGCCACAAGGGGTTGGGATATTATAATGTAACCTTTTAGATGTATCCAATAGATTTATGATTAGTGTGCATCATTATAGTTAGTGCTTATATAAGGTGTGATTTCTTTCAATAAAGTTGAAGCTTGCTCTATCATTCACATTGAATTGACTGCTTGCTTCCTCCGCTCGTCACAAGTGGCGCCCAAACAGTGGAACTTGCCCCGACCTGTTCTCACGGGACAAGTGGATTCGGAGAAGCACTGGCAGCGGCGACCAGCGGCTACAAGATCCTATGCTTCACTGGGAGCAAGGGTCCGAGCCGTCAGAGGCTGAAAGTTGCGTTTTTGCAGCTCGAGCTGGATCCTGATTGCCGTCCGAGAGTGGCTACCTGACAAATTGTAAAACGCCGTCAGTTTCTTCTGTTGCAGATACACAGCTGTGAGCATAGATATGGAGCGGGAGGTAGCCTTAAAATCATTAGAAAAGCGGGGAGTAGGTCCCATTAAGGACCTTGCTGGACTTACTGCCTTGGGAAAGGCGAAGGGACATTTTCGAGATCCCGAAGCAACGTTTGATGAGGGGGAATGGCGGGATTTTGGGGACTCCTTATAGAATATGGCAATAGATGATGAAGATAAGGCGGCAAGGAAACTTGCTCAAATGCGGAAGACTCTGAAGCATCACCGAAGGTGATACCGGGAGCTTGCAGGCGGGGAAGCAGAAGGGCACAGGACGAAACGCCGGAGCGTGGAGATCCTGCAGGTATGGAAAAAGACGCAGCCCTAAAACTGATGTTAAGTATCCTCTCTATGAGAGGCGAAGAAACAGCTCTTAGATCTTAAACAGCTCACCGAGTGAGCGCATGGAGAACTTTTTTTTTGAGATAAGAAAAAGACAAAATCATGAACGCGGCCAGGCTGTTAACACAGAGAATGAGAACACAGAGGGAGAGGATGCATATTTTGAACCTCGGGAGCAAGATTTATATGCTAGGTCTTTTCACTGTGATAATCTTTTAGACCCTGACGCTGTAAATCCTGAAAAAGAATCTGACCTGTGTCCTCCCTTAGCTGAGGATGATCCGTGGGTAAAAGTGAGGCGAAAAACCTTGGCGCAAGGGGATATGGCCATGGCGAGAAAGAATGTTGCTCCTGTAAGCTATGAGCCGGGACATCAGCCACGTTGGGAAAAACGGCATTTTTCTGTTATTCAAGATTTAGAGAAAAGCATTAATAAGAACGGGCTGCAAAATCTCAGATTACAACAGCTGTGCTGGAGGCGATGGCTCAGGGATATCGATTGGCCCCATCAAAATTGGCTATAGCACTTTTAAGAAAATAAACGGCATTCACGCCGGCACAGTACTCTATCTAGAAAACCGACCGTGTAGGTCTCTGTGCTCAGCGTTGGGAGCTGGCGGCGGCGCCCCGGGGCCTCCCCC